CTGGGTGTGGGGCAGGCTTCCCATCCCGACGTCACAGGTGAACTCCAGACTCCCAGTGACGGCGCCGCTCCCTGCAGCAGCAGGCGCAGCGTTGCTTTATTTCAAAGGGAAAGATGCCCTTGACAGCTTGGGACGCCTGGAAAATGGGGGTGCCCCAGGGCTTGACGGTGATTCCAGGAAATGGAGGTCACCTCTGGGACCCAGTCACCTTCTGACCTCGCCGCGGTGTCTGAGGCACCTGTGTCGAGCCACCTGCTGCCACCTGGGAGCTGGGCTCCTTAAGATCTGTCTCTGTCCAGACCTCTGTGAACACAAGTCCCCCGTCCAGCTGTCTGTGGGACTTTTCCATGGGATGTATGATGGGCATCAAACCCAACTGTCCAAATCGGAGCTCTCCCCCTAGAACCTACTCCATAACCCTCCCTTCCCCTAGTCCCCCTCAGCTAGTGGTAGTGCCATTTTCCCAGCTGCCAGAACCTCGGGAGTCATCCTGGATTCCTCTGGCTCTCAGATCCACATCCACTCAGCACATCCTGAGGCTGTAGCTGTGGAGTAAAGCCAGGATCCCACTGTTCCTTACCAATCCCACTGCGGTCCCCTCCCCGCCGCCCCGCGGACTTTTACAAAGCTTCTCCGCTTCTTCTCCCTGCTTCTGCTCTGGCCCCCCTCAGTCCAGGCTAGAACAACAGCCCCCAGCCATCTTGTTAGAGCAAGCTGGGTTTTCCCGTTCTCCCTCCCCCTCGGTGGGATCCAAGACCCACAAGCAGACCATCCATGTCATTAAGACCTCACCCGTCCAGTTCCTCTCCTCTCTCCCTCTTTCCCGTCACACTGACATTTTGGCTTCAAAACAAGGTCGAAGCCAGGCAGTGCAAGCCCTGGGAAGGCCCACTCCTCGGCTGTGCTCCCACCACTCTGCTCAGGAGGTATCTTTCCCACTGAGCTATGGGCTCTGCACCATTGCTTCATCTCTAGTCAAGCCCTAGGACCAGGATATGGCTCAGTGGTTCCGCTGCCTGCCTCACAAACACAAGGGCCTGAGGTCAATCCCTGGTACCAAAAAGATTAAAAAAAAAAAAATCATCTAGTCAAGCCCTATCCTACCCCACCACCTCATGAGAACACATCCAGTGGGATTTAACTAACATAATTAATTGAAACTAAATCCACTTTCACCAATTTAAATTTCAAATCGCAACAAAGCTCCTGTTTTTAACATCTAACAGACTCTGGGAGGGTGATGCTGGGTCAGTATTTCCCTCTGGTCATTTGAAGCAACTACTTCTTCCACTTCAGAGTATTAATCCTTAGCAATTATGTGAGAATCACTGGCCCAGCAGATGCAAGGCATTTAATTCCTCTGGGCCTTGATTTTCTAGCTACAAAATGGAAAGCATAACTAAGGTAGAGATGGTTCCTAGAGATGGAGGGCTTACTGGGCTGTGTGTTTTTCCTGAGGTTCCTCAGTTCTCAGAGAGAGAGACTTATCTGGTAAGTTCTACCAATACAGAAAGTCCCCAATTTACAAACGAGTTCCGTTCTGGGAGAACATTCGTAAGTCAGATTTGTTCGTAAGTCCAACAAAGTGAGTCTTATATACCTTTGACACAAATATACAATGTAAAGCATTAAAAAACTAAATTTGAGGTACATTCGTATCAGTGAAAGTTCACAGTTCAAATGTTCAGAAGTCAGGGACTTACTGTACTGACTTTTTACAGATGAGGACACTAAGCCTCACTAAGGTAGAGTCTCGCTCAGGTTAACAGTCCTGTTCTGTGAGGCCACACTCGGAACCCTGCGCTCTGGGGTCCCTGGGCAACCAGAGGCATTATGAAAAAAATACAGGGGGAAGCTGGCTGAGGTAGTTTGGAATGCTTTGGAGAATATTCAGAAGTATATAGGCAATCTCTCCCTCTTTCTTTTCTCTTTTAAGATGGAGGTTTCACTGTGTTGCCTAGGCTGGCCCGGAATTCCTGGACTCAAGGGCTCATCTTCCCTTAGCCTTGCAAATGGCTGGGACTGCAGGCACACCTCCCACCCCAGCACCTGGCTTACAGGCAACCTTTTAAGGATATGTACATGTAGGAAGATGTCATACTCAGGATATTTAAGCAGACGTGATGACTATCACAAAATCTTGAAGTCTTTCTAACACAGCTGTGCCCTCCATCCTGAGAGCTGAGGAAAGAGAGAGCAGGAAGCTCAATACTGCATTCCTTTCTCCAAGATAGTGATCTCTGTTGTCACTGACCTCCTCTCCTATCATCGCTGTCTGTCCACCCTCACCTAGAGCCGTCCTGGATTACAGCAGTGGACCTGCAAAGCCAGGAAACAAATCCGGCAAAGAAAGTAAAATAGTAAAGAGAAAAATACGAAAGAAAATTACATAGTTTACTGTTTTGATATAGATCTTAAATGCACCCCCCCCAAAGCTCATGTGTTAAAAGTTTGGTCCCAAGTGATGACACTATAGCAACTAGTGAAAACTCTAGGAGAGATTCTAACTGGAAGAAAAGTAGGTTACTAGGGGGATGGCTTTGAAGGCTATACTTGGTCCCATGGCCCTGACTGTCTTTCTCTCTCTGCTTCCTGGTTGCTATGCAATGGGTGAGCAGCTCTGCTGTACCGCAGAACACAGTTGTTTCCACTATGGGTCTGTTTCTACTATGTTATCTCTTTGCTCAGTGATATGGCACACACACCCACTCAACTGAAATTCATGCATATGTATATGGATGTGTACTGCATGCCTGTATGTATGAGCATACGGACCCATATTCACTGTCCGTTCCGGTGCTAGAAGCGACAGAAACAGGTCCCTCGGGCACTAAGATCAGCCCCCAGAAACTAGTGCAACATGGGGGCAACATGACAGTACAGAAAGAATCACAAGAATGTCCACACCCTGTAGCCTAGTATGATAAACTGGATTCACCACAAGTGAACAATGAGAGAAGAGCAAAACGTTCTGCACCCAACACCATCTGCTGCAAAAACCTAGAAGCAACCTAAGAGTTCAAAGCAGGTGAATGCTTATTTTATCAACTTCATGGAATACCATGCAGCCATTTAGATCTTCCTACAAAAAATAAAAACTTGTGCTTAAAAAGAAAATTCGGGGGGAAAAGGCAAATCACAAAACATATTTATAACTGAGTGAAAAGAACATATACAAACATGTTAAAATAATTAAAGCACAGGTGATTTCCTCAAGTCTAAGCTTCTGCAGTGCTTTGGACTTCCTTCTTTTACAGAACTGAGTAAGCCTTATGGGGGTAAGGGTGGGGGTGGGGGGGTTCCCATTTACTTGTCTAAACCCCATGCAAGACCGTGAATGCCTTGAAAATAGACACTGTGGCCTTTTCTTTTCTCACTATTCTCAGCCTACACTGTGGCCTGGCACATGGTAGGTACATAATGAATGAATAAGCACAGGAGTGATAGAGCAGTGACTAGATCAATGAATTGATTGATGAAAGCAACTCAGCCATTCATCAAGAGCCCCTCCTTCTCTCTGCAGCCCTGCCCAGCCCTTGAATGAATGGCACACAGGGGAAGGGCCAGCCTGGGATTCTGTTGAGCAAGACTTGACCTGCATTGGCCACAGTCCTTACCTGCTGTCAGACTTAGGCATCTGTGGCTCCCCTTCTGAGCCTTAGGCTCATTGTTAAAGGGCTGGGGCCCACAGAGGAGAAGCATTCACCTTCTCCAATTTGGTCTGGAGAAACGAGTTCTCCAAGGGTTCAGCGCGCATCATGTTTCTCGTGGGGCAATCTTAGGAATGAAATGCTTGAAAGCAGCAGTGTTCTAAGAATAGCCACGCATAGGCACTGACTGCCATCCTCATTAATAATCCTGCACCGAAGCCAAAGAATTAATTTAAGAGTGATTTAAGATAATGAGTTGCTAGGCAATTAAAATAAACTTCTGAGGGAACCTTTTTTTTTTTTTCAATTTATCATTGGTTATTTTAGGTTTTAAAAAATGGGATCAGGAAAAGTGATCCATTCAAATTGGTTTAAAAAATGGGAAACCTGGGGATGCTGTCTTGGTAGAATTCTGTCCACAGGTGCTCTCTGCTAAGGACAATGGAAGAGGTGATGCTGCCTCTTCAAAATGAGCCTCAACATTTTGCCCTGAGGAGAGAAGGGGTGGCACTGAAGTCTCCAAACGCGCATTTTGCACAGGTGAGTTCAGACGTATCAGGCATCTCCAAGGATGCTGGGCCTCTTCCCAGCTAGAGTGTGATAGATATATATATATATA